GTCTTTTATGCCCGTGAGAAATACAACTCTATTCGAACTGAGAACATTTTGTGAGATGTTATCGTTGCTTATTGGCTGAATACGATTTTTAAAATTTAATCTTCGCCAAAGAACATTCTCGTAAAATATTGAAGGTATTTTTTATTAATAGTATTATTTGTGGTATATTCAATGTGAATTTCAATGCATTTGTTTTTATTTTACTACTTCGCCGCCAGTGGCAGTATGGATAACATTCAATAATAAGTAATCTCTGAAACTTTTAGGCCAACATTTGAAACTTTATTCTCAGTGTTATTGTTATCAATTTTAAAATTTAATCAACGAATAAGTTTTCTCACTACGATATCATCATCGACAACTTACTGCTAATCCCTCTGTTGGGTATTCTCTTTGCAGGATATTTAGGTCACAGGTTTATTGGCTAGTATAAGTTCAGATTTTCTGTCACTGTTAGAGAGAGAGAGATGTTGCTACTACACACAAATGCATGTATTTGAAAATTGAAATCATAGATACATACCACCGCTGGGATCCGAACCGACTAACCCTTAATTGAGAAGCAACGGTAGCCTAGTGAGGCTGCCACGTCTTCAAATAAAAAACTATGAATATATTAGCAACACACTGTAACGTTTTTCATAGTTATGAGTTTTTAATCTCTAAATGCGGGTACACACGGCGACTTTATGATTTATAGATAATTGTATCGATGCAAACACTCTAAGAGAGACAGGAAATACGTAACGTTTATAATGATAATATACGTATTAATTAGGGCTTTTCTAAATTGACAATTTACTCTCTAAAATGACATTGAGCGTGTTACGTGTATGTCTACGGCGCCGTCCTATTGTCATCGCTCGCGCGATGATGCGGTGCAATTTCATCGTGCGACGAAACCAGTCGCGCGATTATAAATCGTGTGTCATATTATGGAGCGATGCGATCACACTCGAGTGGCTCTTAACAGAGATGCATAGTTTTTGCTGTCGGGCAATATTTATTTTATTTACGAGTTAAGTAGATATCTCTATATTATTTCTTTATAACTGCCTCTGTGGCCTAACGGTTACCATGCCGGACTGCCACGCAGAGGTCCCAGGTTCGATTCCCGGGCCGGGAGAAATATTTGTATGACCTACATTTGTTTCTCTCGTGAGTTTGGGTGTAATTTGTGGTTGTCTATATGTGTGTCCATGGCACCCGCGACACAGGGTTTCCCTAGTGCGGGGCTATGTTGAGTGTGTGTGTTGAGTGTGTGTGTTATTTCTCATAATATTGCAACGACCGTTGTAGTGACGAGTAGAGATTCAAATTTTACGTTCAGCAATAGCATAACCTTGAATTTCATACATTTAGAGTTACAACACTATTGCAATAGCATTGCGATATAATCTACAAAACAGAAAAAAGCGCGGTGAATTTCACAATCACTATTTCGTAAGTGAAAAAAGAAGATTTTTACGAATAGCGTGCGCCATTAGGACTTTCAGTACTGGTGTTTGATCGACCGATCAATACGATGTGTCGATGGTCGCGCGATAAAAACTAGATAATTTGATCGCGTCGCATGATCGCGCGACCTTCAATAGGACATTCAGTAGAACACTCCCAAGGAGCACACTTTAACGCCTTAAAACTGTTATATCTATAAACAGTCTTAATATGGTATACATTTAGATAATAGTTCTCTATAAATGGTTGTAGAAAAAAGAAATTGTTCTTATAGACTTATTTCACTCAAGTCAAATTTTAAAACCTTCTCAATACCAAACAACTTAATTAAGTATATTCTCTCTTAAGATTTACTCCTATAGTCCTTATTTTAAGTTCATTTGTAGAATAACTGATTATTTTTAGTAAAATTGTTCTATACACATCCAGTAAAGTGTATTAATACTATAAAAACTAGTGTTCTTAAGTTTATTCTAGATATATTTAATTTATAGACATTCTGTAGTGTTTGTACTTATTGACAAACACGTTATAGCGCGTCTTCAGTAGATTTTATTTAAAAAATACTACAATTAGGGTTTTTAGTCTATTTGGACTATTGAACGTTGTAAGAGTTCATGCAAAATGGATAAAGTAAAGAATATTAAAAGATCTGGTGGGAGTGGTGAACCTTGGATATTAAGTCACATCATTCGATACAATCAGCGTTGCCAATGCAAATTGTTCAAAATCCCCAAAAGTCATGGTTAAAATCCCCAAATTTGGGGAGAGCAAAGTTCATATTCCCACAAATTCCCCACATCTCGAGTTTTCATTATTTATTAGAAATACATCGCTTAAAAATATAATAAAGAATTAGGAAACTCAAAATATAATAATCTATTACGTTTGCTGTGAATGTAAACAGAATGTAAAATGTAAAACTATCTATTTAAAAAAATATCGATCTATTTATTTTAATTAGATTCAACATTAATCTGTAATCAGTCTTTGAAAAAAAAAAAATTTTTCTTTGCCTTACAAAATTAAGTAAATTGATTGTTTGTTGTGCATTTGGTGACAATAGTGTCAGTTAATGTTAGAAATAATCAATGAGTTTCGACCTATATTACGTATTACGTATAGTACAAACTGCTCGGTTTTGTTGAGTTGTTGAGGGACCGGCCTAAGCGGGAGAAAAGATCGCGAATTCAACACGCACCGACTGGTAATTTTACAATTCAGAACCAAGTGCTCTAATAATAATTATATTTAACCTACTTGTTAATAATGTGCGATGTTGAAAAACACGTCGATATAGCCCATCACAGTGTTTCTAACAGTAACGATCAAACTAGCGATGCATCAGCAATTGATAGATTAAACAAAATGATAAAATGTTAGAATCCCCACAAATTCCTCACATAACGCCAATCCCCACAAAATCCCCAATCTAGTTGAAATACCCTACAATTTGGGGAATTTCCCACAAATTGGTAACACTGGATATAATAGTCGTAATTCGCGCGCGAGCCGGTCATGGCTTTGTTTGTTGACAAATAAATAAACATTGTGAATTAATTCCGTGTTCTGAAATGATAAAAACATTTGAAATGAGCGAGTTACGAAAGCTACAGCCGAAGGACTTAAAAAAACCCAGAATACTTTTTACTAAATTTAATAAGTCAATGGTTTGACAAAATGTAAAGGAATATAAAATATCTCTAAAACTAAAACGAGATGCGACAATGTTCGATATTGGAACCAAAGTGTCTACATTCCCACGGAGTTGCGCTGTGCTGGTCTCACCATCACACGTTACGCTGATCATGCACCTCGTGCCTTTGATGTGTTGCAATCCATGCTTCGAAGTAATGTTGCAACCGCTTTGAATCATTGTGCTTAAGCCAAATTACGGGTGGCCAATCCCCACGAAATCCCCAATCTAGTTGAAATTTCCCACAATTTGGGGAATTTTCCACAAATTGGCAACGCTGGATACAATAGTCGTACTTCGCGCGCGAGCCGGTCATGGCCAGTCACGTTTGTTGACAAATAAATAAGAAGTGATAAAAACAATTGAAATGAGCGCGTAAACTACTGTACTTCAATGTTGTGTATGAGTATTGTGTGTAAAATGTGGTTGGCGTGAAGAAATAACCTCAACTTTGTAATGAAAATTATATTTCTTCCAACATAAGTTAGGCATGTCATTAAAATACTCCTTATATTTATATGATAGGGATATTTATCCACCTTTCTAGTCACATATAACACATTACATATAATTATACAGAATAACGTTTTTTTGCGACAAATTGGATTTTTTAAATTGTTTTTTTGACCTAGTGTAGTGTTTTTTTGTAAAGGTTTTGTAATACTGCCAAAAGAAAAAAATCGCTTAGAAATATTGCGTTTTGTAAACAATCATAAAAGCCTCACAGGAGTGAATATTCTTCTACAAGATCAACTACACTAAAGCAAGTAAAAATAATCTTTTCGTATTCTAAAGTGTTTCCATAGATACAGCTATAGACAAAATTCTCTCAACAGTGTTTTGAAGAAGCTTTAAATTCTTATCGCCATTTTATTTTTAAAGAATGACTATAAAGTAGCCGAGAAAAATTTCTTTTCGTTTTAAAAAGTCAATTTAAGTAGAAATTAACTTGAAGAAGCCTAGAACTTCTTGGAAATGGTTTGTTTTGTGAGTTATTTTTTCAATATTTAAGCTTTCTATAAATATTTAAAACCGAAAATCGATAACTGTATTTTTATTAAGTTTATACTTTATAAGTAAATATTTAAAATTTTGCGAGCGCATTACTTTTATGACAGGTTTTACATCACTTTTCACAATGTATTTAAAGTCGCACGTCAATTCGCGCTTTCTAACCGATTAAACACTGCGCGAAAAAGACAGAAATCTTACATCTAATTTCGCCATGTTGCAATTTTGATGTGTTTGTGTTTGATGAGTTTATATTTTGTAAGCCATTAAACTTGAAATCTATTAGTATTAAGAGAATTGCGTCTTATGTTTGTAACGCTTTAGTATTTTGGTTTTAAAAATATCATTACTAAGGAAACTATCATAGACTATAAATTATCTAAAAAACTGTTTACAATATTAAATAAAAACTGTCTACATTCTCTACAAATGGTCTTGTACCATTCTAGAAGGGTTACTTGAGAAAAAAGATAAGAATCACTCTTAACACTACCTACAGATAGTTTCTCTAAGCACTACTCTTGTGATCTACTAATAAAGTTGTGCCCATTTTTACTTTAAATTATCTAGAAACCTTCTTCAAGATATCTTGAGGAAATTTGAACTCTTAAAGTATTCAATCGAATTAAATTCTATTAGATATCTTATAGAATATATTTAGACATGGGTGTGCTGCTTGTGTATGTCGTCATCATCGCGCGAGGGATGACAATGACATGACAAAACAACAGGCGGCGCCTGCAAGTGCGGAACAAGATGCTCGCATTAACGCTGTAGTGAAAAATGTATGTACTATAAAATATTAAATTCTGAAAATTCGCGTTTCTTACTTTACCTTATTTTTAAATTTTCTCACAACGTCCTGATACTCTAGAGACCTGTACTAAAATATATTTTTCCACGAACACCACTCAACTAACACTCGATTCTAGGGACCAATTCTAGTGCGCTTCGATATCCTGACGAATTTAATATCGACAATTCCAAATGGAATTGTAAATTGTTGTTTAGCACTGTTAACAATAACCAACACACGAACTCACTCAAAAGGTTTATTTACGGAATTTACCGACTTAAGCCAGCGGCTATATACACAGCTATATAAAGCGAATTGCACAAAAGAACACAAGTACTGGTATGCTAAGACGCGACCGAGAAGACTAGATAATTGGAGCACAAAGCGACAAGCAATCACCGTCGGAGGTGGCGTGATCGGCCAGTACAGGAGCCGCGGTCGCGGTAAACAATAGTGACCGGTTTTTGTGTGCGCCGTTCCATTGCACTATTTCCGGGAACATAATACACGACAAGTTGGCACGTCAAAATAAATATAATATTAAGTCAATGATAATATGCGATAAATATGATAATAGTATTTTTATGTATTATGTGTATGTATGCATATAGTTATATTATACCTCATGTACTAGTTTACATATATTTATATTTTTTTATTTAGTGTTTATGTAATTTAATGTTTTGTAGCCCACATCGATAATGTCGTATTATAAATGTGTACACATATAATACCACAAAATTTTTAACAGCTTTAAAGTTATTACTCTCAGTATCAATAGATATACTAGGTAGAAACATTTGAAATCTTCTCACTCTTCACACGTCTCGTTTTCATCAATTATATTCAAAACGTAATCAAAATATTTGTTTAATCTTTAAATCATCAGCTTTCCAGTGTTTTGATTGATATAACGAAATATAATGAAACGTTCTATTGATTCGAGAATTCGACTGTATCTTTTTTATATGTAAGGTACGCGATTACTCCGGCTATATCTTTACGGCTATATTTTGTGAACCGATTTAGATGATTCTTTTTTTTGGGAAGACGGTACCTCAACATTGGTCCCATTTCAATTTGAAGAAAATATTCCACCTCTAAGGCTCAATTTATATTGCAGCGGATTGGATACTGACGCATTCCGCGGAAGATTTTGGTTCGTATCTAATTTGTACGTTACACAATTGATCATAAGTTTATTATGCAATGTACAATATCGTTACAAAAATTCATTTCCATTCCGTTCCGCCGCAAAATAAATTGAGCCTAAGGGTGACCAGCTAACTATGAGATGAATCCAGTTTCGCGCACTTTCTGGTAACCGATTTCAATAAAACTTGGCAAATAAATGTAATTCCACGAACTTTTGAGGTCGGTTTTTTAGTACATGTACTGAAATTAAAATATCATGATGACTTTGTAAGAAGTCAAATTTATATGAACAATTTGTCACATCCAAAGAGTTTCTATATCTGATGCAACATCCTAATGCATGTGAACGCTGTCGCTACATAATATGTCTGTGTATGTGACATTCTGAGAATACAGAAAAAACTACGATTTTCATTGAAGGTTTTTTGAAATTTCTCTTGTAACAGTTTCTCCATAGTATGAGAATCGGACCCTTGTAATATTATTCTTTCATTTCCAATTTGTTCCGGACTTTGCTACCACGTAACAAAACCTTGTATTAAAAATTATTTTTTATTGATTACTGATAACGGATACCATACAGGCATTACAATCATTTTACTATTAAAAAGTCTAAAATGTTGTTGAAAAACCAGATACAAAAGATCGGACAATAAGCAGATAGAGAAATTCGTGGCATCCGCTGGTACGTTCCATGACATAGTTGGCATAGCGTCTGACACGTTTCGAATCCGGCCGAATCGAAGGAATTTTTTCTAAGTGTTCGATCTTTCTATCAATAATTATAACATACTAGTGGATTTCAAAAATGTGAAAAATAATTGAATATGATGGTGGTTAAACATTCTGACGTTCAATGATAATTTAAACCATTTTTCTAGTTAAGACCAAGTCAAGCTTGACACTTTGTACTTTGGACCGTTCTTATCGTCAACGGCACAGAGTTGGATTTAAATCTTAAGTGTCAAGCTTGACGTGCTCTTGATTCTGTATTTACAATTTCTTAGAACTTATAAAATACAAATATTTTTTTAAATTGTTTAAATTCAAATTCATTTATATCATTGAGGCGTAGATGTTATAAGGGCGCTACAAGAACGCATTTTGAATCAATTTATTTTTATTTATCTGTATTTTCTTTCATTTTATTATACATATAACATGCATGTAACTCAAGTAACATGTCATCAATAATGAATATGAACACTATGTACTTTGCAGTTAATATTTGGACGCCAATTGCTTGCGCAACACGCAGAATTATAAGCGTAATTTTATATAACATAAACTTTATTGACCGTGTATGTTTACAAATAAGTATATCACTATATCTGTTTGCTATCATCCATAAATTTTATTACACATAAATTTATTACAAGCCTGTTCTGTCTCACATGAAAAGAAGATAGGGGTATTTTGGCATTGGTCACGTTTTTGAGCTTCATCTGGCCAGTCCTTTAAAAAGAAGTTAAAATCATCCCGCCAACGTTTGAATTGTAGGGGTTGGACAATATTAACCTGTCTCGCTCGTACACTGCGTGTTGACAGATGAGGACTAAACCTTCTGATTAATGGACTAGCCATTCTACTGATATTGACTGTCCAAGTAGGCCATAAAAACCCTAATCTGTATTTCACACTTTGTTAAGAAGTGCGCGACTGTTTAGCTTCGTATCGAGTACACATAAATATTATAAATAAATAATTATGCTTAAATAGTAATAAAAAACTCTTATAATGCGGGCGAAAAGACTGTTTGTATTTGTTCAACCAGCAGCATCGCTAAGACATGTAGGTTATAGTTTAGGATACGATGAAATTGTCGTTTTAAAACTGCTTATAAGTATAAAACTCTCTTTTTTTTCCTTACCTCGCAAGTGTGACTATGCACATCCAAACTAAGGATAAGAGCGACTACACACGAGGATTTACAAACGATACAAACGCGCGTTTGTGCAACGCGTGATTGGATAGCGACGCTAGCGGTTTATAGGCGGTTGGATCGATGCAAACCGCGTGATTGCTGCGAAGCATGAGCGCGACTGCATCAACGCAGTCGTTTATGTTCAATCATTAAAAGCATGTAGACGATTAGCGACTGCATCGCTACTGCATCGTGACTGAATGATAACAGACGCGCTGCTAAAAGCCGCCGTGATTAACCGCTGGAAGTGTAACTTATTAAATTGTTATGACCCGCTAAACACTTTCCTGGAATTCATATTCCAGAAAACTTCGGATTATTAAAATGCGCAGTCACTAACGCATTTCGTCAACGGAGGGAATCAGAAATTCCTGGTAGCACAATAGTTTCAGCGAAAAAATGTTGGAATTGGCAAAAGCTGCACGTCGAATATATTAGTTGTTTCAGTAAACAGATATGACGACGTTCAATAAAAATCAAAATATAGCCAGTTATTGAATCCACGATTTTTCAGTGTTGTGTTAGTAAACGTAACTAGTAGCCGTGTTACTACTTGCCGCATTCAATCGCGAACATTCCAACTAAAAAGTTTGGTGGTACCTTATTCTGTCGCACAGACGATAAATGGAACTCATGCTAGTGCTAGAGAAATTACAGGTACATGGGACTTGTCAACTTTTATCTCAGGGTGTCGAGCGCAGCGACAGTGTCTGTCAGATTTTTGTGATTTAAAGCTCTAAGTGGCAACTCTTAGGGGCAGGTGAGTTTTCACAAGCCACAGAATTTGTTCGTCCCGTCACTTAATAGGTATTATAAAAAGAAAGTTGTTGTTTCGGTATTGAAGGGTAAGGGTGCTGGTGAAATTACAGATACATGGATCTTGTCAAGATTACGGGTGCAGTGGCAGAGCCCTGCAGATCTTTGTGATTTAAAGCACTCAGTGGCACTGCAACTGTCATGGACAGGCATGTCGCTTGTCACCAGCCGTACGACTTGTTCGTCCTGCCTCTTGATATCATAAACAGAATGCAGTGTGGCTAGGGCGGTGATAGTATCAACACTGTGGTTGTCTATGTGTGTGTCCATGGCACCCGCGACACAGGGTTTCCCTAGTGCGGGGCTATGTTGGTTGTGAGCGTTATTATTATTATTATAACACTGCACTAGGTTCCTTCATTTTTGGATTCCACTTTTCCATTTAACATCAGGTGGAGTGGAGTGGATCTGGCTGTCACGTATAAATAAACATATTGACGATAAAGAGCGCTGGTAGCCCAGAGGGAAAACGGTTAATTCTGCATTGAGATGTGCATCCAACGTAGGGCTGTTCGTATTATCGATGATCCCAAACACACAGACGGTGTGGAGCCCCTTAGCCTACAGAGAGACGTTGGTTCTCTGTGTGTGTTCTACCGTCTTTATAATGGGGAGTGCTCTGAGGAACTTTTCGAACTGGTGCCACCGTCTCGTTTCTACCATCGCACCTCCCGCCAAAGGAGTAGAGTCCATCCCCACATCTTAGACGCCTGGCATTGTAAGACCACGCGGGCATCTCGTTCGTTTCTTCCTCGAACCTACAAGATGTGAAATGATCTTCCTCCTGAAGTATTTTCATTGCGCTATGACATGAGGTTCTTCAAAAAGCGTGTTTATATGGCTCTCAAGGGCTGGCAACGCATAAGCAGCTCATCTGATGTTCCAAATGTCCATGGGTGACGATGACCACCTCCTATCAAGTGGCTCGTCTGCTCGTTTGCCTCCTATTTTACATAAAAAAGGTCGATGTTTCGAATCCCTGCGGCAACAAGAAACGAAGCTACGCTCATTTTTAAATGAAACATCGAGATGCAATCTTCACGTTCAAGGAGTTTCGCAACCTTTGGAAATCGTGTGAAATCCACAAGGGTCAGCGTTGCGGTCTATAGTCTAAACCCTCTCCTAAGATTCCTCTATTAGCGCTAAGCTCTGCTGGGCAAGGATGGGGACGAATAATACGATGATGATGATGACGTCTGACGATGATCTAATCTTTTAAATTCAGTATGCCTAATCGCCTTCAAC